AGACATGGTGGCAGGTGCCTGTAATCCCAGCTGCTTGGGAGACTGAGGCACAAGAATCGCTTGAACCTGGGAGGCGGAGGTTGCAGTGAGCCAAGATCGCGCCACTGCCCTCCAGCCTGCGCGACAGGGTGAGACTCTGTCTCAAATATATATATATATAATATTAAAGTGGTGTAGCTGCTATGGAAAACAGTATCTCAAAAATTAAACAGAATTACCTTATGATCAGCCAGTCCCACTTCTAAGTGTATACCCGAAAAGAATTGAAAGCAGGAACGTAAACAAATATGTACAGCAATACTCATAGCAGCATTATTCACAATAGCCAAAAGGTAGAAGTAACCCAAGTGTCTATGGACAGACGAATGGATAAACAAAACGTGGTACGTATACATACACTGGAACATCATTTACCCTTAGGAATGAAATTCAGGTACATGCTACAACACAGATACACTGAAAACATTATACTAACTGAAATAAAGCACACAGAAAAGCATGATTCCACTTACATGAGGTCCCTAGAGAAGACAAACTCAGAGACAGAAAGTAGAATGGGGGTTGCCAGGGGCTGGGGGGTTAGTGTTTTAATGGGGAGAGTGTTTCAGTTTGGGAAGATGAAAAGTTCTGGAAATAGATGCTGATGGTTGCAAAACAATGCGAATGTACTTAATACCACACCACTGAATTATGTACTTACAAATTGTTAAAATGGTAAATTTTGTTATATATATTTTACCGCAGTTTTTAAAAAAGTCTGTCCCTAAAACATACGCGTGCACACACAACACACACGTTTGAGAAGCACTTCTGGAAGCAGGAAAGAGATCCATTCAACAAAGGAAACAACTGCCGACTGCCTCCCACGTGCCAGCCCTGGAAGGTAGCTGCTGGGGCCCACCAGACATCTCCTGGGCCAGCATCCTCCCTTCCACAGGAACACCATCACCAGGGTGAAGCTCCAAGGTCAGTTCCAGAGAGATAGCAGGACATTTAGAACCTGGACCCTGAAGTTCAACCAGGTCACTGGAGCTGACCCGGGATGGCATCTGACTCTCCTTTGGGGCAGTGCCTCATGAATCAGCCTGGTCCTGAAGCCTGGGGCATTTGGAGTGTAGGGGCGGGATAGGTGAGTGAGTGGGAATGACATAAACAAGTGAATGGGGCCACTGTTAGCCTTATTTATCTTCTCAGCTGAGTTTCCTTGTTCAGGGCCGGCTGCTTTAAAATCCCACCCAGTAGAGGACAGTTGACCCCACATCATCCTCTCTCAAGCCAGGAGCTGGGGGGAACCTCACCTGGTGCCTTAAGAGCATCCATATGAGGATGGGAGGCCAATTACATGAGTAACAGAGTTGGGAGACTGCTGAATGGCAACCACGACGAAGAACCCACAGGAAAAAAGATGAAGCAATGAGGTGAGGAGATAATGGCAGGGCTCTCCAAGGCCTCACTCTGCAGGTCAGCCTGTCTCTAGAAGAGGTAACACATCTCTTTGGACTGGGAGGAGGAGCCCCGTGAGGTTCCTTCATCTGATTTGCTTTGCCCTGAGTGCTAAGTCCTGTCCTCCTGCAGTGGGACAGGCAGGTCCTTCTCAGTGGCTGGGGGAAATATGGTTCCTTCCCCTTCTCATACTGGTCCTGCAGCAGGTCCTTCCACCCAGGAAACTTCCCAAAATGCCTGCTCATGTCCAGAGACTGGAAATAACCAAGGGAAGAGCCTGCTGTTATTTAGGGCCTTATCACGTCACTGCTGGTACCATAATATTTGCACATTTACTGAGCATCAACCAGTACCAGGCACTGGAACAGACCTTGGAAATACAACGGGGACACCATGACCATCTGGTTGACCAGTCGTCTCTTTGCTAGCTATTGCATTGAATGTTAGATGCTATGAAAAGCAAACATCTTATCTTGGCTCAGAGCTCTTGCGGCTTGTTGATTAGAAGACTGTAGAAATGAGGCCATGTGGTCAATTTTACATCCTCCACCCAAAGAGCCTATTAATTTCATCTATTACAGGTGACAGCTGGTGTCCCTAGTTTGACCAGCCATCTTATAGATCAGACTCAGTAGTTTCATGCTAATACAGTGACACTCTCAGAAGATTTATTCCCAGTGTATGTCTTCCTAATGTGCTAAATATGCAAAGGACATTTACCTCTGCACACAACTCCATTACTAGCAGCATAATTAAGGCTTTCAGTTGAGTTGACCACATAGCCACATAATTCGCTCAGTAGAAATTAGGTATAAAATCCATTTTCTTTTCAAAGAATGTTTAACTGGAAGTGACATCACAAAAAACTTCATTCTGTGGTGTTCACTGAGGAGACTGCTAGATCCATGTACGTGCTGTCTTGTACCTGAAAATCTAGTCTCTAACTCCAGGTTGAGCATCTTTGCTCTAATATCTAAACCAGGACAAGGAAAATAAATTTTAAGGTTTGTATCAAGTAGAATTCCAGTTTCTTATGTCACATGTTATGTACACAAAGCTAGAGAACCACATCTCTTATCTAAACAGTAACTTCTTTTACCTACTTCCATCTAATTGGTTTCTAGCTTATCTAATTAGTGTCATTTCACCTTCTAAAAGGGCACCAGCTGTGCCTTCTCCTTGCACAAAACCATCTCTGATCTAGGGTGCTTAATTTCATTCAATTCTTGCAATTATTCACTTTCTGTGGATGTACCCAGGTGTCTTCAGGCAATAGATGTATTTTTAAGTAAAGCTAATGAGCATAGTGGATTTGGTCCAGAATGCACAATGTAGCTGCATCTGCACAGACACAGCATTACAGAGAACAGACAACTGCATGTTCCATTTAGCCTGGGAGAAACTCCTTAAGATCCCTGGGCTCTAAACCAGTAAGCTATGGAGACTTTCAAACTATACTAGAGCAAAACAGTCTCATTGGAGAGATTCCAAATCACTATCATATGTTGCAATTTTCCTTGTTCTATGCTCACCTTTTGAGTATCTGGCTTTTACCCCAGTTGAAATCAATGGGAACATTGCATTCAGGAGAATGTATCTAATGAGAAAACCTAACTCCAAATATAAAACACTTCTCTGTCGTTTATCTAAAATCCATGATTCAAAGGACCATGACGATATCCCATTGCTGTGTTTTTTCCCCAATGCAGTTTTCCTGTTTCCCTTTTTGCAGAGAGGTGCTGGCCACATAAGGTATAACAAATAGCATTATCTGCAGAGGAACTCTAAGAATGTGTGGAATGAAATGAAACAGCCTTCACTACTCACAGAATGCTTGTAAATTGTAATTTGCAAAGTAATGCATTTGAATTCTTTTGTTGCATTAAAAGTGGAACTTTTCTGGAAGTCTCATGGAAAACCAAGCAAAAACAAAATGAAAAGTGGTTTCCTTTTCTGCAGATGATTAGTAAGAATTTAATAAGTCATCTTATTAAAGCCATCAGGTAAGCAAGACACTTTTCCAAATCCTATGAGCAAAATTATAAATCTTACCCCAATTAAATAATTTTCCAAAAGAATGACAAAAGGCACACTAAGTCAATTACTTTGGATTTGTGTAAATACTATTTTAAAGCTTTTTACAAGCATGAAATTATTTTTGAAAAGCAGTTTAAAACGATAGCATTAGTTAATTTTGGGTAAGATAAACCTTCATTTGTTCTCATGGTTCATATTATTCTTTGGTAGAAACGTACTAGAACAGCTGCCCGCTCCCTGCTGTTCTGCATGGAATTATTTCCTGGTAGTATCCCCACCGTGAAATGAATTTCACTACAGCATCTCCAGACAAAGTACATATTTGACATATCTTTCTGAAGGACAGCAGACTGCCTTTCAATTGGTCACGTGACCTCCTTCTGCTAATTACCCATTGGAATTCCCCAGCAGAGAGAAGCAGGAAAGATGCTTTACAAAGAGCATCTGCCTGTGAGCTTTGCTGGAGAACAAAGATAGACACATCCCAATAGATGTGTAAAGATTGTTA